GACCAAACGAACGTTTTGAGCTTCTCGAGTTTCGTGTCTTATCAGTGAACATAATTAAGTAACTTGTTGAAGGAATATAGCCTTCATGCATAAATTATAGGAAAATGGGAAAGAGAAATTACCCTTGCAGATGGTTTCTATGTGACAAGAAAAAGGGCCGCCTCTTTTATAAATAGAATTAGAAACACTAAAAATTCTGTGGTCCAAGCTGTGTAATAAGTGTGTGTGCTGTGTATAAAGTGTGTGTGCTGTGTTTAATGTTTGTCGTTTTGATATTTGTGACAAGTGAAAATAATGTACTATACGATTGCTCAATGTTATAGTTTACTTTCATGAGAAGATGTGATTGTTATTATATTATTAATTACTACACGGATGGCGTAGTGGCTTAAGCGGTCACTGCGCTAAGTGTTATGAGTTCGATCCCCACATGGGACAACACTTTGCGTGATCCACAAATTTTTGTTCTGAGTGTGGGTGTTCTTTGTGTACGTTTCATGTATATTTGTAAAGTCTCCCGCGACACAGGATTTATTCCTAGTGCGGAAGTTGTCTTAAAAAAAAGAAAAAGAATTATTGTAACTTTTATATCTAAATATTAAGAAACTTCTAATTTCTATGGGTATTTACCTGCATTAAATGATAATATTATTATGATAAGCTCGAACTTTATTTGCGGTAGTCTTGATTAGAAAATGACTGTGTATTAGTAACTTTCCTATAGTTGTGTTACGATAACCTCTAATGACGGTCTATCTGTTCGGGAAAAGGTTAGAAAACATTTCAACTAAACAAGTGTCATTACTTATAGTTGTTTATTCATTCACCACTTGAAGCGGATCGGTAGAAGGAAACGTACGCCACGCCCCCAATTGTTCAGCGTTGGCACTACGCCGACTGCCCTATATTATACCGTCTAGCTTGAAAATATATAAAAAACCTAGACAATAAGTTAGTCAATTTGTAAGGAGAATGTTTTTACTTATGTTCTTGGACGTTTTATAGTTATGATCGTTAAGCGCTAATAAAGCATAACGAGAAGTAGAAGGGAGTAAGGGAGGGAAATTGATTTTTTTTACGCCTAAGGGTGTATTTTATTTTATTTTATACACTCATGGGTAGATAAATGCTCGAGAATTACACCGGGAATAAAGTGATCACATACGTAGTAGATGTTACATTCTTTTGCAATTTGACTAAGTTGCTCTGGCTGTGGTCACAGCCATATTACAGTCTATTTGGCAGTATAGAACTATAAGGAAATATAGTACACTTACTACACTACGAGCTGGCGAAGTATTACTTCTATTTTATTACTATATATTATTATATAACTTCTATATTATTATTAGTAAGCTGTGACTGAAAGTTATATATTTGAAATGCTTGGCAAAAAGACAAATTAAACTCTTAGTCTACGGCTTTTATTATTGGTTTTGAAAATACACGAGTTATCGAACTAAGTTAAGAATTAGGATTTAAGGTCGAAGGTAATAATTACTCAACTATAATCTTTTACGTCCGTGTGGTGACGGATTAAGAAGACGGGTCACCACCCCTATTCATCCCGTGGGTTTCGTAAGAGCCGACTCAGGGAGCAAACTACGCAGGACAACAGCACTGCAAAAAGAAGGAAAACTTGACATAAACCCTATCAAAACCCGTCTGGCAAGCTTTGTATAGTAGGCCAAAACCTTCTCCTAAAGGCCTACGTCCAGCAGTGGACTATGAAAAGCTGTTGATAATGATGATGCTTTTACAGTTTTACTTTCACTGCATCCTAACGAACGTGCACTTAAAAAAAGACAAGTCCCACACTAGGAGTATAATCTTATGTCGCGGCGGATTTTACAAACATACATGAAATGGACACAAAGAACATCCAGACTCAAGACAACAATTTGTGAATCACACAAACTGATGTCCCATGTGAGGATCGAACCCACTTTGCGCAGTAGAAAGCGGCAAGGTGACCGCTTAAACCACTACGCCATTTGTGCAGTCTTGCAACTTAGATACTGACATCCAACTACTATCTAAAAAAAAAAACAACGTTTCAACGATTTTATCATAATAAGAGACGTTAATAATGTCACACCGGTAATTATTATCACTGCTGTGTGCTGCTATTATCACATGTACATAATACATTAGCGAATCAGCTATGTTTAATGTCCGAATAGCTAAGAGTTTACCAACGTATATGAGATGTGTCCGTTATAAAGTTTTCTTATTTCAAACTTAACAGGTCGTTTCTTAACTATTTTAAGTTCAGATAATATTATTTAATTAAACTACTAATCAATGTAGCATTTAAAAATATCATTAATTACCTATACGGTTCGTCTAATTACACAATCGACATAATTTCGATGATAACGTGATTCATTAACAGAAATAATAGATAACGTTAATAAAACTACAAGTTTTCTAACAATTCAAATATACAAAACTTTGTTACTTAAAATTGATCGCTTTATGATGTGTCAGACCTTTTCATTAAAATTTCGTATATCTTGAAAGGGTCGGGTAAAACAATGTATTATTTGGCCTGATCAATAAAAAAAAAACAGGAATTGACAAATGGGTAGCACGACTTCCTGATGACTTGGTAAAAATTAGAGAAAAAAATTAAAGTAAATTAGTTTCATTATGCACAGTTAGAGGCGCTGATGTCGTTTTGATTTTGTGACATATCAGGGCGGCGGATTATTATTTTGATTTAGAAGCGAGGAATAATGTGCAAATAGAAGCAAAAAGTGCAGTAGAATATCGTTACAATACCTAAAAAGCTCTACATGTAAGTTTCTTTAACGTTTAACTGATATGTCGAGGTTAACTAGTCTGACACATCATAAAGTGGTCAATTCTAAAATCGGGCTATACATATGCGATTGACTTCATTTATATTAATTTTAAGGAAATAATAAGTTTAAATACAGCGTCAGTGAACTATCAGCCAACAATATCGGCTTAAAAATCTTATTTGGTGTGTACATATACTAAAAGAATTTTGAGAAATTAATCTTTCACTCTAAATTGCACTTTATTGCGTACCTGCAAAGACCGCTTTTTACTTAACTTCATGGAGTGCACCTCCTGTACGTACCTAATTCTAAGTCCATCGAACTCCTCAATATACGATTTAGGAATTAGTACAGAATCGATTTGTGATTTTATCGGAGCCACCAGATGGTGAAACTAAACATAACTTAAACACCAACTGATATATTCCTATCATACATAGGAATATCATACATACAGAGTAAGTTGTGATTGGAATAGGTAAAATATATGGTAGGTATGTATAGAATGGCACAAATAGTGTCGTCGATCTTTACAGTAACCACTAGTAATCATCTGAATCTGTCACCTGTGTCTGCTCGCTGTAATATCATTTATCTTTTTATAACAATTATAATGATAACAATATTATTATGACACACGGTGCTATCCAGAATCAAACCAAGCAGAGCTTATGGTATACCTTTATAATATACATAGTAACACTTAGGTATGGACCTATTAAAATTGACATTCACGCACAAAAATATTTGCACCGAGTGGGAACAGAATCCGTAACACAAACGCGGCAGTCGAACGCACTATCAACTTATCTCTGAGATCGTTAAAATAAATCCACCATCATCCAAGACCAGTTTCCAAATCCGGGCCCTGGACTTCAGGGTGTGATTAGAGAAATATGAGCTCTAACGCGTAGTAATTCGAAACAAAAGAAATTGCGCGAACTAACTATAGGCAAGATCCTTGTTGTGCGAACTATTTTGTACTGTATTGCATGTTTGCTAGGGTTATAATTCATGCATCTGTGAAAAAGTTAACTTTTGGTACATATTTAGTATGAACCATAATTTGGAAGCTAATTTTTTATAGCGTTGTTGTTTATTATATATATTTCAAGTCTTAAATTATATCTAGTAATATGTTACTTTAATAATAGAACTGAAGATATTTATAATTTGTTTGTCTTGTCTATCAATTGTATAGAAATGCGAAACCATTTCATAGGTATTAATCAACATAATAACAAAACGTAATCAAGGTTCTCATTGTAACCACTTGCCATTTTAGTCTTAGTACATTGCTATAAATAACATACATTTTTATAAGTATACATACATAATAACATACATCTATTTATAAGTAAGGCCCAGTAAAAACAGTAACCTTATCTAAGTAAATCAATTTAATATGACCATAGAGCAAACATACTATATTTCATCATATAGGGATTAAATGAATTACTCTAAAACGTTATCAGAAATAGAAGTTCCTGAAATATAGAAAGTATTCAAAAACAATAAGAGGATTGATCAATAAAACCATACCCACGAGCTGGATGGTGTTGATAGGCGCATACCACATCATCCACATGCTACCACAATGTCAGAAACCTCATCAACGAACCGCAAGAGCTCATTATTTTGACATTAACTCAAAATTAAACCTCTCTTTATCAAGAAAGGAAAATTCAAAAAACAATTTTCAGTCGCTCCGTGTAACGATCCGATCGATAAAAGCGAAACTCGACCGTGATAACCATTAACAAGTACAGACTATGTTACTGCTTTGTTATCAGCACTAGGAGTGCATTATAAACGGGTTAACAGGGCGCATAATGTAAAATGGAGGTGGAATGTACTTACAGTGCAGTAGGCTGGTCACGCGCCTTACATGAGTTCCGAGGTACACAGCACGAGGACAGTTCGTGTAACAACAGATGCACCTCTTTGAAGCCACTCCGCGCTCAACTTGCGTAACATTTATATTACGAGAAAACACCGTGGAACAACAGCTAGGTCAGAGGCGGGCGCGCGCTCCTCGTCGGAGTCTCGCACCTGCCATCTTGATCGACGGCCGTGGGAGGGCAGCGAAGGAACTTAACGAGTCGCTCGCTGCGCGATTTTATCCAGGTTTTTGTGTAAAATTAAGAATGTGACGACGGTCACTACGTTCGGTGGGAAAATAAAAAAGTGGGAATGTGTCGGGTGGAGCGGGCGGCCGGCTGTGAGAGGCACATGCCGCTCGATAGAGGCGCGCGTGCGCGAGGCGCGGCGCCCGTGACGTCAGGCGCACATGCGCGAATCATATCACCCGCCCGCCTCAATGGGCCAGCGCTCGCCGCTCGCTCAGCACTCAACCAAGTTCATTATTTGGCTATCACTCACTCAGACGATGTCTATAACCTAATGAAGGTTGTGACATCGGCCAATTAATAACGCCAGACGTTCAAATTTAACAGTCTGTGTCATGACGTATGTTAATTGTCTTCTTTGAAGTTATATGGGATTGCAACTGTCCGTGGTGTAAGAGAGACTGGTCAATTAGTTAGCTATCGACGATTTAGTTTCTATGGAGGAAACCTTTTGACGGCTATGGAAAAGCTGAGATGACGACAATGAATTGAATTGACGTAGTGATGACGTTCACATTAAATTTTTAAAATTAAAGCTTAAAATGGTACCATCAAGGCCTGTTGTAGGAGCCAAAGGATCTTTAGGGGGAAGTCGATTGTTATAGTAAGAATTACACCTTACAAGACTCAAATACTACTACGAGTATACCCAGTATCAGCTACGCTGCTACGGCGTAGATATATTGTAGCCAGCGTTACCTTCTTTTTTAAATATTTTAGGCTTATAGCATTTTATTCAATCATTTTGCAGTATCCAAATTTAGTAAATTTAGTTCACAACCCAAAACACAAAAAATAAACTATCCATCCATATACCCATCTATCTTAGTGTGATATTATGATATATATACATATCAGCTTTTAATAATGAGAATGGTTCAGTGCAGGTACAATTGCATTACGATTGTATTTATTTTAACAATAATAGGTTACTTGTTGACTTTCATTTACTTCATCGCTTTATCGTCAACAAAATCAAAATTAAACTTAGCGAAGCGCGTTAATTACTTAACCTTGCTAGATAAAAGATTATTTATACCCCTGACAATTTTATAATTTCGTAATATTAGGTTGAGTATTTAAAGCGAAAAAAAAAACTCACGTCTCGCCTTTATAGTTAGTTAACACTCATCGCTACTATTATTTCTTTTCCTTTTTCCACATTACATGAAATCATTCATAAACATTCCTAAATTATCAAAATTGAGTAGGTCTTTTTCAAATAACTACTTACGTTATCTAAGGTCTCTATAGAATCCGCTTCGCAAAAATCATCGCTATTTCCATCAGTATTAATATCGCTAGTAACCACGCAGTCAGTCCCAGTCCTATTATTTTCGTTATTAACGTTAATAGAAAATGCACTGTTAACTTTATCAACGACTGCCAGATCTTCTACTTCATAAACTTTATTGCTATTATTATCAATATTATTTTTAACACTATCAGAACCATTACCACATTTACTTCTATAATTTTCTTGATCAATCTTAATGAAGAAAACTGACGATCTTTCTCCAATATCATCTTTATCACTACTTCTTGAATTCCAATCACTGGGAATTGTGTCTGCATTTGATATTGAAGCATTGTACGGTTTGAAACATACACATATAGACACGATATTATTACACACATTTGATAAAATCTTTGACAGCCAGTCCCACATAATTGTAAAGTCTATGAATGTATTCGATCAAATGCTACTATGGAACTTAATTAAATTGGGGCCAGTTTATCGTGTGCTGATAAAACTCTTTAGACAACATTTCCGTTTATTAGAAAATATTGATAGGGGTTCTGGCACTATCTGATTGATACCCGTACTTATAATAACCTTTGTAAAAGTTTCAACAATGTCAGATGTAGATACTTACGTTTCAGGGGCCCAGCTTTTCAAAAATCATTTTTAGAATAATGAGGTTAGTTATCTTAGGTTTAATTTTTTTAAATCTTAAACAGTTATGCCCTTATCCACGAAGGGGTAGGCAGAGTCGTATTAAACGTCCATAATATGGTAGAATGGTACACTTTAACAGTTTTCTCAAATTCCCGCTACTGTTTTTGATATTTAAAAAAGAGAACTCCCCGCGTTAGCAAGATATGCTGTGACTCCTGTGACGAGAATGACTTTACATATATTCGTAAAATGGACACAAACAATACCCAACTCAGAACAACAGTTTGTGAATCACACAGTGTTGTCCCATGTAGGGATCGAACCCACAACAAACCACTACGCCATCCGTGCAGTAAACAGGTAAATGACCGTGTGAACTGTGCCACTGTTGCTGATCCCTTGGAAGCCTTGAAGAAGTACAGTCGCGGTCATGAGTCCAGTAACATTTTTACGAAGTTATGGCATTATAACTAGTTGGACTTATGGCCTTCTTCTATTAACGTATATCACACACCCATATACACGCTACTTGCGTATGATTATAGTGACTAATTTCAATGTGATCAATAACTGTCCGTCTGGCGCTGCTGTGGATACTCTGATGCAAATGCTGCCGTTTCAAAAGTCATGCCACCTCACAGTAACTTTTTGAGAATTCATAAAATATAGTTATGAGTGCAATATTATCGAAGAGTATAAATCCTTGATTCAATATTTTAAACTAGTTGTCACTAAAAGTTGGGGGTAAATTTAAAACAATAAACTATTTTATTGTTTCAAAAACACTCTCAACTTTTGACGTCAGTAAATTTAGTTATGAGCATTTGTGTTATTAATTGCTACTGATGTTTATGTTGCAAATCTATATTCTAATGCAAGCAAATATTAGCATTGAAGCCAGTACTAATATTAAACCTTTAGTGGGCGTCAATGTCTGTAATATCCAAGGAAACTCGCTTAAGTGTAAGTTATTTTTATAGACTATGTGATGATAATTGTGGTGTTTGATTATAATCTGATTATAATTGAGAGATGAAATTGATTATAATTATAATCTCTTAAGTGTTGGGTCAAAATTTCTAATCACAATATATTAAATAATAATAGCAATATATTTTTTTAAGAAAAAAGCTGTGAGACGTTGAGTGAAAAGATTATTAACCAGTCGCCACTTGTTAACCAGTCTCATCATCATCATCAACAGCCTATAACAGTCCACCGCTGAACATAGGCCTCTCTCCTTAGAAAGGAGGTTTTGGTCTGTCCAGTCACAGCGACTCTTAATGTGAAACAAATTGTTCCAAACCAACTAGACTCCAATTACGTCGAGGTTTCGAACGACAGAAAGCTACCTCCTGTGCTGTATGCTACCTGTTTATCCCGTGAAAGAATTTAGTGAACTTATTTTATTATAAGTGAATGGTTTAAATCTCATCAGTATTCGAATTTTAAGGTTACTCCATGGCCAGCGCGATCCCCTGATCTAAACCGTATGGTGTTTAGTGGCTTCCATGCATCAACGTTTTCTAAGTTGTATTATAAAGAACAGAGGTCACACTGAGTATTACTGAAAATAAATGTTATATTTAAATAGAAATACCTTTTTCTTAGGACAACTTAGGGGATGCGTTGGCTGTAATAGTAATAAGTTAGTTTATGACTGTAATACGGAGGTTAAGTTTCAATCTTCTTTTCAAAAAGTACAGTAACAGAGATCAAAAAATATATTCCGACATGAAAACAATAACAATAAAGCATACTACTTCATAATAGATTTTCTGAATGATAAATTTTGATTTCAATTAGTTATGTATATAATTAAGTATTTATAATTAAGTATTTGTAAATGACATTTATTTTGACGTTGTAATTATTAATTGTTTTAAAAATTTTAATTTATTTGACATTTTATTTAGTATTTTGAACTTTTAATTATTTTGACATTTTCGATTATCCATTATTATTATTTGACATATTGAGTTTGACATTTTTAATTATTTTAACATTTTTCCCGATTTAATCATCATTTATCAATATCACTATATTATTTAATTAAGAAATCAAATCAACGTCTATTTTTATTGAATTGAATAAGTATATGATTACTGGACCTTAAACAGTTGTATTGCACAGGAATAATAATAATAATAATATTCTATAATAATAATGAAATCCTTTTATTGTTTTGTATGCCTATTGGCGAAACATGGCGATCTTTTTAAATATGGTTTGTAACATCTGAATTTACCTGTGTTTTACGAAATAAATGATTGATTGATTGATTGAATAAGTTCAAAAAATGATCAGCACTAAGGCTCGAACAGTCGCCCTCGTCTTCGGGTGTGGAAGTAAGTTTATCTTGCTATTATGCCACTGATTCTAATGACTACTGTTTTGCCATCGCTTTCACATAGGTGCTACCACTGGGAGTTCAAAGAAAACGTATAAATAGGTATCTAGGTATCTAGTGTTGTGCAACCAACCAACATTATAAGTCTGTATTATCTCGTTATAATATGCGTGCATTGAAATATCACACACACAAAGATAGGCACAGAACCGACGTGCGAATATGAACGTTACGGTGCTACTGCATTTATGACCCTTGACTGTACCTACCTTGGTCACAGTTAGAGATTGTTCAAACGACAATGTTTACAAACCCGTATCAACTGGTTACGAACGGATCCAGAGATAGCAAATCTGGCGCACCTCTCGTAATTTATTCAATGTTTTAAAGACATTTTCTTATTCACTTTTTTTTTGATAAATTTATATTACAGATCGGTTTTGTTACAGTTAAGGCAGCTTTACATCAACCTAAGTTTAAAGTAAAAAGTGTTTGCTTTATACAAAACAATTGTAAAAAACATCTCATCATCATCGTCTTCTGCTTACGCTTTTCCCAAATTGATTTGTGGTCGGTGCAATGAGTTTTCGTCTTCAATTCTCCTCTATCTTCTTGTACGCATGCCTTCATTTCATTGCAACATTCTTAAGGTACAAATACTGAAGCTTTTTCATTAATAAAATACTAATTTTAGCACTGGGACTGTGTTCTTTTACAATAATGGACTGTACAATTAGTAGTACAGTATAGAAATAAAACAAAAATATAAAATAAACACTATATTTGACTATTTACAACATTATATAATTTGGCTAGTTATAATATGCATAATATTGCAACAATGAAAAATACAAAACCTCTGATAAGTCTGTTTTGAGGTTTCTTTTTAAAGTAAGCGTAGACAAAGCTTGGCTTTGGAATACTAAGAATGCTAATATGTACAAAGCACTAATTGTATAAAATAGTAACTTATTTTAAAGAGTTACAACAATTTACATATATGTATATAAAAAATTAACACCTTTTAAAATATACTATAATACAATCACATTTAAATGGGACCCTAAACCACTTCAACAATTTTATAAAATTTATAAAAAATTGCAACCCTTTACAAAAAATCGTTTTTAAATATTACATTTCTAATTTGAGCAACATTTTTCATATATGAAACAAATATTAATTAGACAAAAACAAACACAAATATGACAGATACAATAACCAAAAAAACAAATCAGATATACTTTTTTCCCATAACTATTACCTGACAATGTAAAGTATTGCACTAAATAAATAAAGCGGGTTTTACAACCACCAATAATTCAGTAAATCCTGAATAATTATAAAATATACATCTTAGTAAAGTTCGTAAGATACAAATTTTATACATAGAATAAATATGTTACATTATTTAAATAATCAACAAACATAGTAGACAATGTTAGTCTAAGGTGTACAAAAGCTATACATAATTGTTAACTTGCTAACATGAGTAAAGTGAAACGTACAAGTCTTTATCAGTGTCGTTTGATCCTGATATTGTATGTATGTGAGCGGCAGTTAGCATAAAATTTTCATGACAACCGATAAAATAATTATTTACTTTCCTTTGTTTCTTGCACTTTTATTTTATGAAATAGTTCAGTAATTTTTGAATGAAAGTTTTTGAAAATGAAATTCATAAAACAACGGATTAAAAATAATGACGTGTCTTTAAATCATGAACTAAGTGTCACAATACTGAATGTGAAATGTATGCTATTATGTTATTTGAATTAAGAGTAAATAAACTACAATACAATCATGATAGTAGGGATACTGTGAAATAAAGAAAGGAAAGTTTCTGTTAAGGATTTGTACAGATTATTATAATTATCTTCTATGAACAATTTACATTAGTTTAGATTACAGGTTTAAAAAAAAATTATATCTATATATATCAATAAAATTATATGTAGTGGAATAGCTAACAAGCCCAAAACTTAACACAGGAGGGTGTATTTTACTTTAAAACCACAAATTAACACACATATATGGGTGAATAACAATAAAAACCAAACCCATCAATGAATGTGGCAAAGAATCCCTCCGAGGATGAAATTGAATTATGGGGTACAAAAAAAAACAGCAATTGAATAGTAAAGACAATACGAAAAGAAACTCAGGTCCCTGGTGCGACATATTCAGTAATAGATCAATCAATGTCCAAGCTCTTGAAACTACTCGTGAAACTGGCAAACATCCCCTTACTTGGTTTTTTAATCCGTTTCTTTTCATCAGTCTTAAAGATTTCACTCTCAATCAGCCACTCTCTATAATTCTCCTCCATATTCTTTCTTTGTTCTTCGTGAAGTTTCTTAACAGATGGGAGAGGTCCTCCGAAGTCTTCGGGTAGGAGTGCTTTATCGACGACAGACTCAGGGCCTTCGGAGGAGAAGTTGAGCAGGTTAAGCAGATTAGAGTGAATAAGAGGCTTGACGAGGCACATGACTTGGTTGATGAACGAGACTGTGTGTACGACGTGGATTTTCTTGAGACGAGCCGGATGAGCGTTCTGAAATTTTATTGTTGTAAGATTATTATAATGATAAAGAAAGAATAGGCGTGGAAAGTTATAACATACTAGTTAATTATTAAATTAGGGGTTAAAGTATGAAATTGCCGATTTGTACTGAAAAATTTAAACTCGTTTTTTTCTAAGATGTAACATATTTATTTAATCAAAATATTCACTCTCATCATCATTATGCCTTTACGATAGAACTCTTTGGATTTATCGAATCTAGATTCGATAAAATGTGTGAAAGCATTTTGTACTGCCTCCTGGGAAGAAATTTTTATGTCACGTAGAAAATTGTCCAAATCTCGAAAAAAATGTTAGCCCGTTGGAGGAAGGTCTGGTGAGTACGAAGGGTGACGTATGGTTTCTAACTGTTCCTGTAGAGTTACAACGGTTTCTCGTGCAGTGTGAGGTCTAGCGTTATCATGGAGCAATAATGGTGAAGATCGTTTCACTGCCAGTTCTCCCATAATTGATTGGTCAAAGTATAGCACAGTAAACATCTGCTATTATTACCTGACCAAACCTGAGAAAGCTATGGTGAATAATACCATGAAGAGACCACCAAACAGGTACCTTCACCTTTCTATTGGTAAGCTTTGCTTTAGGGCACTGTTGCGGCGTTTGACACTGGGGTCAGCTATTGCACAAATCGCTTTCGGTTCTCGTAAACAATTCACTTTTTGTCACATGTCACAATTCTTTCTAATAATTCTTCATTTCTGTACCGATTTAACAAGGCAACACCAGTTTCAATACAAATTTCTTTCTACAGATCAGTCAAATCAGAAGGCACATTTTTCATACTTTTTTATGTTATTGATTTGATGCAAATGAGTCAATATTGTAGGTAGGGTAACGTTAAACCATGCTGCTAATTCCTTGGTAGTTTGACTCGGATCGGCTTCCACCATCTCCTTCAATTTAGCGTTATTCACCTGTGTGGGCAGTCTTCCACGTGGTTCGTTCTTCAAGTCAAAGTTTCCATTACGAAAGCGTTTAAACCAAAAACGCACGGTGCGTTCATTAGCAGTCTCCTCTCCGAACGCAACGTTGATATTGCGAGCTATTTCTGCCGCGTTAGTTCCGTATCGTAACTCGTAATTCGTATTAAAAAATGACTCGGATTTTGGAAGTATCCATCTTTCAAGTCTAAGCTGAAAAAAAAAAAACAATTGCGAGTCGAAAATCGATCGATCGATTTGAATTTTGATTTTGTTTTTGAACGGCAATTTCACACTTAAACTCCTACTATATTTAAAGTTTTAAATTTAAATTATTTTATTTTTCGAAGTTCTTGACTTAGTAGCCAAAACATTTCCTATTTATTCCTCAAGAAGTAGGCCCTGACCACTTTGACATCTCCGACTCATTATCTTACAAGTGCATTAAAGTTAAAAAAAACATATTTTTTGTATTAATAACTACTTTCTTAGGAAATCGTTAAAATTAAAAATTGTTCTAGGGAATTTAAAAATGTTCATTATTAAAACTTCATTATACTTTAGCAGTTCCGTTAAGATGAACTAGTAGATACTAGATACAATCAGAAGAGCGGCACTCAGCATAAAATTTGTTTCAATTTACCTGTATGTAATGCATGAATGCTCTCAGCGCTGGCAAGGTCACTCTAGTCAAGTGCCCAAGACTGCATCCCTTCATATCGAAAATGACAATGTACCCTTCCGCCTGGCCCTGATCTTCAGATAATTTGACATCATTAAACATACAAAAAACTCTAACGGCATCGGCGAAGTTCAGTTTGCTGTAGTCGTAGTCTGATAGTCTGTAGAATAACACGTTGTAGCCTTCTGCAGTCTTGTTTGGAAATGCTACCATGTGCCTGAAAAATAATACAGTTTCTTAATCAATCAGTGAAGAGAACGAAATAACTATTATACTGAGGGTTAGCTTTACCCTCAGTATAATAGTTTATGACAGTTTTTATAGCAGGAAAATATATAAATAATAAAAAAAAAGAATGTTGTCACTATTTCTTCTGCACTAGAGATCGCCTGGCGATCGAATTTCAGCCGTTCCGAATGTATTTTTTAACTCATTGACCAGCGTAACTCAAAACGTTATTGCATAGTCGTTTGTACCATGATAGGTCAAAATATATACTGGATACCTATAGTTTCATTCACTAGTACCTTGTGGATTTCTTCTGCATGTAGACATTTTATGTTCCAAATATGATAGAGACGACGAACAGAAGTATCTATTAGATACTAACGTTCGTCATATTTGTTTAAAAAGGTGTGCAAAGATTTTTTTTACATATTAATCTATATTAAAACGAGTATTATACAGAGGAAGAGTTTCTTTGTTTGTTACGCTTTCACGGCTAAACCGATTTTAAAAAACTTTCACCAATGGAAAGCTTCATTATCAGCGATGAAATGTTGCAAAAAGGGGGCCAATTTATTCCTTTTGAGAGATTATTTTATTTGAGAGAGTATTTAGATAGGCTTAAAGTATCACTAAACCTTACAGGGTCAATTTGCAGGTTACTAATTCATAAACAATTTCATCACATCATGTTAACTCTGTATGTTTACTTACGGAGTACCCGTTTTGTGGTAAGATTGTGCATTAATGGTTAACTACCTCTTTTCGTTTCGTTCTTTGAAATGCATTTATCAATAGTATCGAAAGGTTAAAACCGCATACAAATTACTTACGCAATGTTTGAGTTTCTCTGATGATATGCAGAATTATTATATACTAGCTTTCGACTGCGGCGCCCGCGTTATCGCGGTAAAAAGTAACCTATGTTACTCGCTGAAAATGTAGCTTTCCATTGTAGAAAGAATTTTTAGAATCGGTTTAATGGTTTAGGCGTGAAAGCGTAACAAACAAACAAACTCACTTTCACTTTATAAAATAAGTGTGAAAGTATGGATTAGAATGTAAATGAAGAACAATTCTTAAATTAAATAAAATAAAAGAGGCTTCTAACTTTTTACTTTATTTATTACCTAACCAGTAGTGTCAAATTATTATTTTAATCGATAAAAAAGTGCTTACTCATATTTTTGAATTCACTTAAAACCATGATGAAACATGACATGAAGAAATGCAAATCTCGCAAGACTGTTTGACCACTGCGACAAGAAGTGGTGTAATGTCATCATCATCATCATCATCATCAACAGCCTTTAATAGTCCACTGCTGGACATAGGCCTCTCCTTAGAAATTAGGTTTTGGCCTACTATACCACGCTGGCCAGACGGGTTGGTATAGGGTTTGTATCAAGTTGTAGAGAGGAGATGCTGGAGAGTCTCGAGCGTGACCCCTGGGGTCGCCCTTATCGTGCGGTGCGTCAAAAGCTCCGCACGTCGGGCCCCCCCCTTACGGAGACTCTCCAGCCCAGCTTCCTGCAGGAAGTGGTCGAGGGCCTATTCCCGCAGCGGGCGGAGCACACACCCCCGTCGATGGCTGCATCAGCCGGAGACGACGGGGGCAGCGAGGCTGATGTTCCGCCCGTCAGGGAATCGGAGTTAGGGGCGGCTGTTCTACGGATTAGATCCAAGAACACTGCCCCCGGGCCGGACGGGGTTCCAGCCCGAGTGATGGCCCGAGCCCTCGACTACATGTCGGACCACCTCAGGGGGGTGTTGGACGCTAGCCTGGCGTCCGGACGCTTCCCTGAGCGCTGGAAATGCGGGAAGCTGGTCCTGCTGCAGAAGCCGGGACGGCCTGCCGAATCGGTCGCGGCCTATAGGCCTATCGTGTTGCTGGACGAGGCGGGTAAACTTTTTGAGAGGGTGCTTTCTGCCCGCATCGTCCGGCACCTTTGCGAGGTTGGCCCCGATCTGTCGGACGCCCAATTCGGTTTCCGAGCGGGGCGTTCGACGATCGATGCCGTAATGCGCCTTAGGGCCGTGACCGAGGAGGCCGTGAACTGCGGCGGAGTGGTGTTGGCGGTGTCCTTGGACATCGCCAACGCCTTCAATAGTCTGCCATTCAGCTGCATCAGGGAAGCGCTCCGCTACCACGGAGTGCCGGAGTACCTGAGGCGGCTGGTGGCAGACTACCTTGAGGAGCGAACCGTCATGTACGAGGACCGAGATGGCGTCTTGAGACGCAGGGCCATGTCGTGCGGTGTTCCGCAGGGGTCTGTCCTAGGACCACTCCTGTGGAACATTGGATACGACTGGGCCCTACGAGGGCGTCTCCCCCCCGGGCTGGGTGTACTCTGCTACGCAGATGACACTTTAGTCACGGCCCGGGGGGCTAACTTCCAGGAGGCGGCGCGCCTGGCCGCCACGGGAGTTGCCCAGGTGGTCGGGCGCATTGAGGCGTTGGGATTACGGGTGGCCCTGGATAAGACGGAGGCCCTATTATTTCATGGGCCCCGTCGTGGTCCACCCGCCGGCGCCTCAATCGAGGTCGGCTCGGTCCTCGTACCGGTCCGGGCCCAGATGAGGTACCTGGGTCTGGTCCTAGACGGTAGGTGGCTCTTCGACGAGCACTTCCGACAGCTTGGTCCGAAGCTGGTGGACACTGCCTCCGCCCTAGGGCGACTTTTGCCCAATTTGGGCGGGGCCAGTGTTCCCACGAGGCGGCTGTACGCGGGGGTTGTCCGGTCCATGGCGCTTTATGGTGCACCGGTGTGGGTGGCGGCTCTGACCGCCCCGAATAGGGCGCGCCTCTGGCGCCCCCAGAGGATATTGGCGGTCAGAGCCATACGCGGATACCGCACGGTGTCCACCGAGGCGGCTTGCGCCTTGGCCGGAACACCCCCGTGGGATTTGGAGGCGGAAGTGCTCGCCGAAGTTTATCGGCGAGTGGCTGACTTCCGGGCGGAGAGCGGATTTCGCCCTCCGCCCGAAGACGTGCGCGAGTGGCGCGAAGCCGCTCGCCGAGCCACCATGGTTAGATGGTCGTTCCGGCTGGAGACTCCACGCGCTGGCTTCGCCGCCGTGGAGGCTCTCCAGCCGGTCATAGCCGAGTGGGCAGGGCGGCAGCACGGGGCCCTTTCCTTCCGGCTGACGCAGGTGCTTTCCGGGCACGGTTGCTTCGGAAAGTACCTGCACTCGGTCGCTAGGAGGGAACTGAGTCCCGCCTGCCACCACTGCGACTGCAGTGAGGACTCGGCCCAGCACACGCTGGCGGTCTGCCCCGCATGGGCGACGCAGCGCCGGGCCCTCACTGCAGTCATCGGAGCAGATCTCTCGCTACCGGCCGTAATTCGCTCCATGGCCGGTAGCGACAGTTGTTTTACCGCGGTCGCAACCTTCTGCGAGGAGGTAATCTCGCAGAAGGAGGCGGCGGAGAAGGCCCGGGAGGACGACCTCCACTCGGACCTGATCCGCCGCCGGCGAACCGGGCGGCGGAGGCGCGCTTACCTGCGCCTCATGCCGCCCTGAGTGTGGCCGCGGGTGGACGGGGTGGGTTTCCCCTCCACCCGCATTAGTTGGCCAGCCGCGAGGGGGCGGCGTCCGCGTGTGCCGGACGTCGCTTAAAGAGAGGATAATTGAAGACGGAGCCCGCACCAGGAGCGGGCCGGCGCTGGGAGGGGTCCAGAAGGCGATAACTACCTGGACCCCTCCTAAACTGGAAGCGCAAAGAGGGCACACCGTGTGGTTTTAGTCGGTTCGAGTCCGACACACCACCCCGCCGCAAACCCCGGTGGGGTGACGGTCCGAGGGGATTTCCACACGTTAAAAAAAAAAAAATAAAAAAAGGGTTTGTATCAAGTTTTCTTTCTTTTTGCAGTGCTAGTGTCCTGCGTTGTTTTGCGCCCTTAGTCGCCTCTTACGACACCCACGGGATGAATTGGGGTAGTGACATTCCGTATTCTTAATCCGTCACTACACGGACGGGTGTAATGTATTGGTACGTAATTAGTTAACTTTTATTACTTAAACTAGCATAGCTAAAATTATTTCCTATTCCTACTTGTATGTTACTTATTACCCCGAAAAACGATGTACACGGGGGCGGAGCCGCGGGCAAAAGCTATAAATATAATAAATATGGGCGGGCCCGTTGGTCTAGTGGTTAGTGGCCCTGACGGCTAAACCAGAGGTCGTGGGTTCGATTCTCACCCAGGACAAATTTTGTGTGATGAGCACGATCATTTGTTCTATATCTGGGTGTTTTATCTGCAAAACGAGTATGTATGTATTTATAAATATTTATTTTAAATACATAATAATTATATTTTTAAACATACACTTAACGTAACATACAAAAAATACACATTTAAAAATTCATTAAAAAGTAGACCATCGACATCGGGTACAGGGACCAGACACCGGTGGTTATGACTCCAAACATAGGAGCCTCCGCACTATACGGGCCGTGTCAAGGAGGACTGCCTTCTGCATCAGACCCTTGATCCAACCGTCCAACATGAGCCTCTTAAGTGTTTGTCGAGGCTCTTGGCTATCATCATCATCATCCGTGAGCAGTAAAAATAAGTTTAAAAAATAAATATAAAATACACGACCATCTAATCCGAAACTAAGCTAAACCTGTGGTAACCAGACTGCTGATAAACATACTTTATATTTTTAAATACACCCATTCTCGTATAATACATAAACTACACCCGGACAAAGAACAAACAATCGTGCTCATCACACAATTAAATTTACATTGTAAATTGTAATAGTATTTAATTCAATTGTATTTCAAAACAAATTAAAAATACTTATTAACCTACATGAACCCCCTTTGTGTGGTAATTGAAGACGGAAGTGGATGAAGATAATTTGTCGCATTTTCAATACAAATGACTTCAGACCTTCAAATAGTCTTAAAGAAAAAAATCTCAAGACTATTTTTAAGTCAGAAGTCAATTAAATCTTTTATTTATTCAATTAATTGATTCAGTACAAACCAATGTTTAGAAAGTATTTGATTAAATACATGTAGCTTAGTAGTGAATAAGGCAAGTTCCGAAAAGTCGGGCAAGTAATTGTAGCACTTAGCGGATCTTATGAAGAATGAATTCTGTCTGTAGGTGGTGCTGCTTTTCTTCTTCTTAACGTCCCCCACGTTAAGAAGAAGAAAAGATATCCTAACAGATCTAGTAGGAGCACGTAACTCAATCTTGGAGAGAAGTTGCGGGGCGTCGATGTAAGATTGTGCTAATTTAACGAGGTAAGAGATATCCAATATACTCCTTCTCTCCTAAATTAGTGGTAAATGGTATTTTTTTTAACCTCAGTTCATAATTATCATCGCGGGTTTTACACTTGTACTCGTACTCAAGGTATCTCGTAAAATTTATCTGGATTGATTCCAATCCAATTGGATTCCAAACTTACGAACGGTACTCATGTGAGCTACGGACAAAGGAACAGTTAAATGTCTTGATTATTTTGACATCCGTGAACTGGGAGTAAGATCTTTTTATATATACCATGTCTTTGTTTGCTTTAAAAATATTAAATAGAAAAGGCCCAAAGAGCGAACCCTGGGGAACTCCCGAAGGGACTACATGCTTCTACGACACGAGGCCATTGATTACAATAGCCTGGGAACTATTCTGTATATAAGATCGCATTCACGCCAATGGTATAAGTTGCTATGAATGCGTGTGTATAAAATCTCTTGTAAAAGTATGGTAATACGGTTAAAACATGTGATGTAGTCCGTAAATACGGTCCACCTGATCGCCATTGTCCATACACGACGTAAACGTCTTTGTAACAGTTTGGTAAACGGTACATTTTAAATTTAATATTTAATTTTCCAGGAATGGCAATGTTGTTGATATCACCATTGATGACCAGTATATCGACAGTCTATTGACAATGTGAATTTATGTTAGTAGAATACTGATATTTTGATCAATGGCGTCTCAATAGCATGTCAATGGAATGACAGTAGCTTGGCGATAACATGAAATAGCAGAATTGAGGCCCTGTGGTATGGTAAAAGTGATTCCCTGTCGAAAAACACCATTGGATAAGAGATCTGTTAAGCCTTACTTTTATCTATTTAGTACTACCTCCACTTCTATAGGTCGTTGTGAGATACAAAATCAGATTGGTATAAGCGGGGACCAGCGCCTTTAAATAACTAATACCCCTTAAGTTAAGATTCCTATTTCAAGTTCAATGGATAATAAACATATGTTTCGTTCTAGACTATTTTGGATTTGTTGTATGTTTGGTGTATCAGGAATTATAATAATATGCGTATGTTGCCGTTAAGTGCAACGCTGACAGTAACGAATATTACACACATCAGCCTGAGAGAAATATGGTATTACTGTCCTTTAATTGAATTATTCAGCTTGACTAAAATCGTGTGAGTAAAATCGTTATTCTTTTAATGCATGAATGGCCAAATGATTAAGTACACCATAGTCTGAGCCACCACTTAGTCGAGCCGAAAGTTGAATTTGATTCCACGGGATAAAAAAATGTGTGATTCCCAATGTTTTCTCTCGAGCCTAAGTACGAGGGCGGGTCAATAAGTCCGTGACTTTTGAATTTCTGACCTCTTTAGTGAAAAAGCAACACTACTCCTGTCAACAGGCATCTGTCAGTTGACTCCTGTCAAAATTTGAACTTGCTGCGTCAGTTAGTTTGTGTTTGACAGCTATCTTTATCAGACTACCCAGTAATTTGAGGAAAAAATAGAAAAAAGTGAATTTCGTGTGCTTATTAAGCATTATTTTTTGCGAAAAAAAACCATTACCGAGACCAAGGCTAAGCTTGATAAATACTATGGAGACTCTGCACCATCGGCTCCATGGCTCAGTGGTTTCAATTTTGAATGATCACTTGGGCATGAGAAAGCTTACCGCAAAATGGGTGCCGCGATTGCTCACAGTCGACCACAAACGCAATCGTGTAACAACTTCACAGGAAGGTTTGGCGTTGTTTAATCGCAATATGGAGGAGTTATTGCGCCGTTTTGTAACCGTGGACGAAACATGGCTCCATCACAACACACCAGAGACCAAACAACAGTCAAAACAGTGGGTTTCTAAGGGTGAATCGGCGCCAAAGCAGGCCAAGGTGGGTTTGTCAGCCAATAAAGTTATGGCGACTGTCTTTTGGGATGCACGCGATATAATCCACATTGACTACCTTCAAAAGGGAAGAACAATCAATGGGGAATATTATGCCAACTTAGTGGACCAATTCAATGACGATTTGAAAAAAAACCGACCTCATTTGGCCAAGAAAAAAGTTATTTTCCACCAAGACAATGCAAGGGGCACACATGTGCAGTTGCCATGACAAAAATCCATGAATTGGGCTATGAATTGCTCCCTCATCCGCCCTATTCTCCAGATTTGGCTCCGAGTGACTACTTCAAGTACTACTAGTTAGATGCAGGCCGCAATCAACCGTCCCCGCTGGAAATCATTGGGAGAGGCCTATGTCCAGCAGTGGACAAGCATAGGCTGAGGTGTGACTACTTCTTGTTCCCCAACCTGAAGAAATGGCTTGGTGAAAAAGATTTGACTCCAATGATGAAGTCATCTCGCAAACAAAGGCCTATTTTGAGGACCTCGACAAATCATATTTTTTGGAAGGGATAAAAAAATTGGAGAAGCGTTGGACAAAGTGTATAGAGCTCAAGGGAGACTACGTTGAAAAATAAAATGATTTATTTATCAAAAAATCTGTGTTTTATTCCAAAAGTCACGGACTTATTGACCCGCCCTCGTATTCTTTGTTCCTGGTAAATAAATACTTCTAAAGGATAATTCACAGAGCAGGATTTTTCTAAGAAAAAGAAATAAACTTACGTAATATCCAAAGCGGCCTTATTTTTAGGTGCTAGCGGGTCCCTATTAGTGAAGAGGTCAGCGCCGCTGGTTGCGCGTAACGTGAAGTAGTGTTCGATGGTTTCTTTGGTCTCCGATACCTTGAAGTAGTTCGAGTACAGAAACAGGAATATATACTCGTCTGATATGTATGGTAGGTGCTGCTGGCCTTTCATCCTGAAACGCAAAAAAAAAAACATTGGATTCGATTTTTTCATTTCACTTAAACTGTCTAAAACAAAGAGCTTAGTTTTGACAACTTAGCTAATTGTTTGTTAACCGACCTTATCTTTACATAGTATAAAATGAAATCGCTTTTTTTTTCTTGTACGCTCAGATCTTTCAAACTACGCAATGGATTTTAATGCAGTTTCGTTTTTACTTAGCTGCACCATGACAAAATTTTAATGATGTCTTTAATGACACGTCGCAGTTAGAAATTCATTTCTCAGTAACATTTCTAAAGTTATAAATAATTTTTGTATCCTCCTCTTAAGTGGGACCGGCTCTGATGTTGCGAACTATGGCACAGTGTTAAAGGTCAGCATTTAATAAACATACACTTTCAGTCATGTACCCACGTTTTTAACTTACTAGGCAACAAATCAGTACTTTTTGGTTTAACATAAGATCTTCTCCAAAATGAGTTGGCAGAAAGGTCACAACGCTAGTACCCCACTGTGTATTTTGATATTTATATATTTATGTATGTGCAATGTGCATGTTTATGTATTGTACGTGTAGACTTGGGACCTCTATGCATATATGTAGTACTGCATATATTAGTTTATTTATATATATTGTATCTAAGTTAGAGTTACATCAAATAAATAAATTTAATATAAATCAATCAAATTTCTTGTTCTCTCGTGCACCTACCGCATCATTTTTCTACATCACCCAAAGGTCGACTGGCAGAGAATGACCTGGGCATTAAGTCCGCCTGTTTACAACTTGTGCATTAAGTTATTATAAATAAATAAATAATATTTTAGCCTTCTGCATCTAACATGCCTCTTAGTATAAGCGGGTTCATTAATTTAACATACTGCTTCTCTATTCAAATTGAAATACTTTCTTCTAGGCCAATAAATGCTTGCCTAGCTTTTACATGACAACCACTAACGTCGTGTCACCATCTTGGCCGCTGCTGTCTTACCCAATCCAAACTTATTTAAGAAGGGACATAATCTTATTTGTGTATATGTACGAAAATATTGCAAACATAAAACAGAGCGATTACTTATGTTTCCATTTCTTGACAACAACAAGTAATATTTTGCGGAGTTATATTTAGTACGATAAACCAAATATATTTTTTTGTGTAAAAGACGTCACTAGTTAGGCTTTTTTAATATTTTTACCTTACATGATGTGATGATTGAAATGCAGTGCTTTACTTGCTATTCACAGACATTTTAATAAAACGTTGGTTCGTTTTAGATGACTTTAATTAATAGTAAATAAATGAAAAAACAAAATATAATAACTTAAAAAACCTACTATTTAAAAATAGCACCACACAAACATTGTTTGCCATGTGTTTACCGAAAAGCAAGCGCAAAGCAACTCATGCCGTCGCCTCGCGCAGGACATTTGTTCGCATGTGTGTAGTAATTTTGGTGTCCGTGCACAGTTCGCAAACGCACACACCCATTTATTTTATATGCGCGACTAGCCGCAGGATACTGCAGTTGGCCGTTCGGATCCCGCGCTAATCGTTGTCGTGAGTACTCGGGAGTAATCGGAAGTGTTCGTTGCCTATAAATCCACCCAATTACAATAGTCAGAAATATAATAAATCATGTATGCGGATTATGAATTTTGAATATATATGGTAAGGTTTTATTTGTTTAATTAGCAGATATGTTTCTTGTTCGCGGGGACCATTTTGATTTTTTCATGTGATAAGCATTGTTTACTATTTTCTTTCCGCCAGTATAATTATAGTTTTATTTGAAAGTGTGTACATTTAACAGTTTTTACTGAGTACCGTTGATTTTTTTAAAATGTTATTTGATTGTGAGTTATGTGTGGATAATGTATGTCCATGTGTACCCGAGTTACAACAATCAAACCAGCAAAAAGGAAATGTAACTCGCAAGTTTCATGTTAAAAGTTATGAAACGTATAACTGGCTGTGTGGTTGTGTACACACGATTAAATTATATTGTTTTCCTTGCATATTGTTTAGTAATTCTAGTACAGTGTGGACTGATTCGGGATATTCAGATTTAAATAATTTCTATTCCGCAGCAAAGAAGCATGATGCATGGTGAGTAGTTATAATATTTTAGCCTATTATTTTACTTATTAGAATTTCTTCCGCCGCGACGATCTATCGCTGTTTTGTCTGCGTTCCCGTTGAAGATGTACATGAATAGTAGTACATCTAAGACTTGTGCTGAAAATCTATAAAAGATAAAGTGACCGACTACTCCGCCGCATACCTAGTGTCATAATCCTGTGCACGCCGCTGCCAAAAGACATACAAGCATGGAAAGCATATGACACTAAGACGCCATAATCTGACTGAACCAAGACTCCATCTAATGATTTTTATGTTTTAAATTACTTTATTTTAAGCCTCGTTCATCTCGCTGTACCCTGAGGATTAAGCAGAGGCATATGAAGTACTTCATCATCATCATCATCAACAACATTCATCAACAGCCTTTAATAGTCTACTGCTGGACATAAGCCTCTCCTTAGAAAGGCGGCTTTGGCATTCAATACCACGCTGACCAGACGGGTTGTTATAGGGTTTGTGTCAAGTTTTTCTTCTCTCTGCAGTCTCTGCTGTTGTTCTGCCTTAGTCGGCTCTTACGAAACCCACGGGATGAATAGGGGTGACACTCTGTATTCTCAATCTGTCACATCACGGACCATACAAAGACCTTACATTTACCCAAATATAATATAGCCTCAGTTTATAGGTTTGCCAAACAAATCTCGCTTAATTTCTCGCTCTATACAAAGAGCCTAATTTGAAAGCTATACTATTGTACATCGTAATTAATAGGTTATCTCAATCAATATGCATCACTAGTATGATCTCTCTCTTTCGTTTTCACTATGTTCTCTCAATTTCCAAGGGGCCAAGGACGCTATCTCTATATTCCCAGTAATATAGGTTAGCTAGATGTAGGTCACAGTTTTCGTCCTACATTCCAGGACACAAAGGCTCTAGCCATTACCATATAATTGAAACCTGCTCACTATCTGAAGTATGATCCTATTTACAGATAGGAAGTATTGGGGATGAAATAAAACACAATCATATTTGTAAATTATATGATTTATAAATCATATCATCACACGTATGATTTACAAAAAACACTGCTACTTAATTATTATTATTACACTAGTGCAAGACTCGCAAAAGATCGGAATCTAAAAAAAAAGAAAAGGTCGTAATCATTGATAAAAAGAATTTTGATTGATTTTAATTCCATTTATCTTTGTCCCTCACGACAATCACATGTGCAATTGCTGTTACCAAAACCAATCATTTCATCAAATGAATATGATTAGCAATAATTTCCATATTCAGTGAGTATGATACCGTAGTGCAGTGGTAACGTACATATGTGACTGCTGTGCTGAGGTCTCGGGTTCGATGCCCGGGTTGGACCAAACCTTTGTATGATCTGCAATATTTGGGTGTTTTATATGTATAATCTGTATGTTTTTACAAAAAAAAAGTATTTAAGTATCTATCAGTCAACCTAGCTTTCATAGTACAAGCTCTGCTTAATTTGGAACTAGATGGTGTTATGTGACCTAATACAACAAAAATGAAATCCTTTTTTTTGGTTGCACGAAGTAATCAATGAAAATGATCAATTTTTCATGGTATAGGGAGCAAACGAGCAGATGGGTAAGTGGTTACCATCGCTCATTAACACTTGCAACTTAAGGACACAAATACTTTGTCACCCCTGCCCAAGATGGGAGTGGGGGCCCTCCCGTAAACTCACTTACACAAAAACTTAAACTCCTCCTTACTCACTCAGTGTAAAGCTATAAAGAATTATTCAACACTAGCTGACCCGCGCAACTTCGTCTGCGTCTCTCAATAGTAATAAATTTTCTCCGTTTTTGAAACATTCTTCATTGGTGCTCCGCTCCTATTGGTCTTAGCGTGATGATATATAGCCTATAGCTTTCCTCAATAAATGAGCTATCTAGCACTAAAATAATTATTCAAAACGGACCAGTAGTTCCTGAGATTAGCGCGTTCAAACAAACAAACAAACTCTTCAGCTTTATAATATTAGTATAGATGGGTTTTATGCGTTTTTTTTCCTTGATATCGCAATTCTTGAGTATGCTATTTGAATAAGAAGGCGTTACAGGTACAACATAACTGCAAATATCCGGTTATAAATTATAAAAATATCGATGAGACATCGGATGTTTGATTTCTTTATGTAAATATTTCCATGTGTAACTATGTACTCGTATATTTGTGTTGATCTGAGTGTGTTTTGCGAACTTTTAATAACCTTCAATAAGTTTTTTCAATAAAACGAGGTGATTCTGGTATCGTCGTTATCTTTTACTTTTTTTCTGTGCGGTAATTCCCTCGGATACCACCTACCGGTGGGGTGGTTATGTCGGACTCGAACCTGTGTGAAAACCCCCATGTCCCCTTTGTATCTCGCTACCACCCAGGCCTGCTTCTGCTAGGGCGACAGATGGCCTGACCTGCCACCCCCACTTTTTTGGACCCTATCATTAAGGCAGCTGATTAGGATGCCATATGTTTTAAGATAAGATATATTTATTGAACGTGATGCGTGAGTGAGTATCAAAGATATCAAGCACCGCAGCGCTTACTTGTAGCTTCATACTAAAGAGCGGAGTATACTTGGCTTGAACATACATCATAATTATAAAAATAAGCAGAAACCATTGTTACGATATTTATAATAATTTTGAAAGAAGAACATAAAGCCTGACAATAACCCGGTGTTAAGTACCTTTTTCATTACTCTTCACCAGTGAGTTAGGTCCACCAAGTTCGGGTGGTAGTCTCTTACTGGTCACCATAACCGTGGGCGGCGGTAGTCACTTAATATAGGTACTTTGCCCCCTATACCATAATAAAATCATTAAATATAAAAAAAAAAACCCGACATACATCTTGGATCTGAAATTTGTCATTAGTCATAGTATTCTACTAGGCAAGTCCTTTCATTTGATACCCATATTGAGGGAGTTGTGAAAAAATATGTAATCCGCTATTTTGTGGCAGCGGCCATCTTGGACCGATTTTCATCAAACATAGCTAAGAACCCTCCCGAATAATTCACCTTTCAAACAAAAAAGAAACAAAATAAAAATCGGTTCAACTATTCTTTTTTTTTTGGAGGAAGCACTTACACTTGTGACTCTTAAGTTACAAGTGTCTATGAGCGGCGTTAGTCACATATCATCACCACGGTACAATTATAATACAGTACTCCAACTTCAAACAAACGGACGAAACGCGAGCTATACCTACGCGCCTCGATCTCGGGGTGCGCTCGGGGCGCAGACAGTCACGGCTGTACCGCAGTGTCGAACGGTGTGTTGTTTTTTTAACAATAACCGCGCGATTTTTTCTCTAAAAATCAGTTAATATGACGAGTAGGAAATATTGTGCTGTTTTTGGTTGTATGAATTCGTCAATAACGCATCCAGACATAAGTTTTTTTTAAATTACCTGGAAACTCTGAAAGGTAAGACTATAAAATAATTTTACTTACTAGTAGGTAGGTACCTACATAATGTGTGTCTTTTTAATGGATAAGTATTTCCTTTTATCTCACGAAAAAAAAGGTGTTTGGATTAATAAATAAAGCGAATAGAGTAACGGAAAGTTATTGAGACGAGTGAAATAGGTAGTTATATGCGGTTCTGAATGAATCATGATACGGTAGGTACCTACCTACTTACGCTTGTGTTAAAACTTCGGTGCATGTGTGTTTTGTTACTTTGCATAATTCAAAGTAATGAGGTAGTATTTTATTATTAATAATATTTGTTTATTATCTGTGTTTATGAATAATACTAGAAAAAAAAAAATACCGTCTGTGTGTCATTAGATAGTTTTCAAAATTTTCACAAAGTGTTTCTGCTGCTACTATAACAACATATACCACTAAAAACTGGTTTTATTTTCTCGGTATTAACAACAACAGCTAGACTCATATATAATATTTAGATGTTTGAGGGTTGTGATTTTAAAACATTCGTAGTCAGCTGTTCAGCTTTTTAATAATTAATTAATTGGTGACCAAAGAATTTTTGTTTTGAGTTGTTGCGAGTTGTAGGTAGGTACCTAATTTATAGAGACGTTAATAAGCTGAGATAAAAAGTTACTTACTCGTCAGCTGTTTCTTGCATTCTAGTGGAGTAGGTAGGTGTTGGAGTTTCTAAGGATTGGAGTTTTGTAACGCGTAAGGAGAAAGCACATTTTTTATTCTATAGAAGGATTTTTAAGCTATTGCATAGCTTTTATCACGGGCTCTGAGCGCGCGGCGGCGCGGTGACCGAATCAAGAAATTCTCAAAACCTAACGAAAAATACCTGACACCACGCAGATTTTTTTCTTTTGAAAAAAAAAATGTTATGCAATAGCTTTACCGCGGCAGTCTCCGAGAGTGCCACATGTTTTTTTTTTTCAGACGTCTTCAATGGTTGCAACTGATCCGGCGAGATGATTTGGAAAACAAACCTAACTTTAGTTCCTACCAAGTTTGTGAAAAACATTTTAATTTGGAGGATGTTTTACATTCATCAAATAGAAAACTTTAAAAAAAGAATGCCCAACCATTGTTAATGCTGCCAAGCTTAGCTAGTACTGATCCAGGAGTCTCTCTAAAAGAAGATAAACAAACCCAAACTGCTCCGTTGGTAGGAAATGATAATAGTACACAGACTGAAAATGCAACAAATGAAATCTTTGCTCAAACCTCAACGAGTCTCTCTAGCAACACTCCAAGAAAAAGAAAGTTGAAACTTGAACTCCTCCAATGCAGAAAGAGAATAAAACAAAGTATTTCATTTATTTATATAAAAAGGATATTTACAATCACAAATCTAAATAGAAGCAGAAAGTAGGCAAATATAATTAAAATGCTGGAGACGGGCAGCCCTAACGCATGTTTACGTACCGCGCGGCTGTAGGCATTTATTTCTATCATGCGGCCGAGTTACACTACTGTATTATAATAGTACCGTGTCATCACGATGCAGTGGTATCACGGTGACCCATATGCTCATCTGCCACCCCTATGCCATAACAAAACAATTCTCCCGTGAGCACAATAACTGTCTGCTTATAAATCTTTACAAAGACAACTAATTGATAGGTATTTAAAATAATATACTTTATATTATCTATGTACTCACCATTCTTTAATTTGTTGTAGTTCCTCCGCATGACCTTCTGGCAGAGGCTTCAACCCGCGTAAAATCGGATGTAGGAACTTCGTTGCTGACATATTTGGTACTGGTGCGATTCTCTAAAACAATAATCAAACTGATGGTCAATTTTACTAAATAGAAAGCTGTGCAAATAAATTAAACTAATGTAATTAATTATTCTAATTATATTATATAATTAGAATTATTCTAATGTAATATATATTATATAAGTATGGTGATATTCTATATATGCTTTATTTTTTATAATTTTTTAATTTCTGTGCATCTACCATGTTTTAGCTCTGCATCGCCCTAAGGTGGTAGATTGGGAGGAAATGCCTACGACATTAAGTCTTTTGTCACTTTTGTGCATCAAGAATAAATAAACGCAGATAAAACTGTGCTAGTAATTTACGCGATGGCGCCGGCACCCGCACAGTGAATCCATGGAACGCTAAGAAATAGTTCATACCGAGCTAATAAAAGCGTGTTAAAAAAAAGGATTTAGGATTGAAATCACAAGTATTTTATTAACTTTTTATACTATATGGCACACATTGTTTCAAAATTTTAGCTAGCTGAACCGCGCGACTCCGTCTGCTTCTCTCAAAAGGTATAAAATTCCTTCTTCAACATCGTTCCTTCTTCATCGATACACGGCTCCTATTGGTCATAGCTCGTGGTCATATAGCCTATAGCGTTCCTTAAGAAAAGGAATATCCAATTTTTAGTTCTACCGAGTATTTCCTGAGATATACATACATGCATACGAGTAATATTAATATAGATTCCAAATATGATATGCTATTGTGCGTCATGTTTGTTTATAAAGAATCTTCCTCTCCCTATTTGGTCTTTTTACCCATTTATACCTCCCTTTAATTTTTATTTTTCTAAAACCGATTACATATCCAGAGACGGCTGGTGTCAGGAAGGCAGACGGCTATTAGTAAAATCAGCTAATTGCAATAATACACATTGCATCGACTCCATATTGTAATGGGAAAAGCAAAAGCAGGATGAATTGTCATCGAATTCCACCGATAATTGTCACAGATGGAAGTACAGCAATTTAGGACTGACAAATTTAAGATAGACATCAATAAGTGTAAAATAATTAATTTAAAAAACACCGTCTTCAATGCGCCTACATCGTCATGGATTATATATCTTTAGGTTAAGTAAAACTATAACGCGATTCAAGCAGAAAGAACAACGCCCTCTATCGAGCTTTAAACTAAACATTAAATACTTAGTTTGCACTTTAACTCTATTCTTGAGGAAGGTCATAGGCTATGTAACATCACGCTAAGACCCATTCGAGCAGATCATCCTTGAAAAATGTAGCAAAAACGTGGAAAATAAATTTTCAATAATCACAAACGAATTGCGCGGTTCAGCTGGTCTATCATAAATCCAATTGAATAAATTGATTTACTTCAATTCCAAACGCAATAGGAACCAGTTGTTGCACTATCTGCCTTATTACGGCAATGCTCACTAGTGCGTACTGAAACTAGCATAATTTTTTATAACCCGGAATTACATTACGAGGATAATTAGGTGAAAATTGGCTTCGTATGTAATCAATGCTTCAAATTGAAAATTAAAATTGAAACGGCAATGGCAAACGAGCAGACGGGTCACCTGATGGTAAGCAACTACCGCCGCCCACGGACACCTGCAACTCAAAAGTCTCAGTCTTGCAGTCCCTCCCACTCGAGTCAGCGGGAAGGGGGTTCTTCAATTATCACTTCGATCTTTTTGATTCTTTTTAACTAATCTAAATTTCATGTATGACAAACAATACGGGTTCAGGCCAAAATCGTATTCCCTTTTGGCGACTATAGATCTAATAACAAAATTAAAATTAAATATCGATAAAAAACAAATAGCCTTATGCGTATTCATTGATCTTAAGAAAGCTTTTGATACAATCAGACAAGATGTCTTATTAAGAAAATTACTCGACATTGGTATTACCGGGGTAGCATATGACACTTTTAAATCTATCCACCGGTAGTATCTTACCAACCAGTTTCAAATAGTTAAGATTGCAAAAACGGCAAGAACCCATAGAAAAGTGACTTTTGGTATTAAGCAAGGATGTATCTTGGGACCGTTACCATGTTTCATCTACATAAATAGTATACATTAAATCGGATTGAAAGGTGCCATCACACTTTATGGCGATGATACGTGTTTATTTTATTACGGTAGCTCAAGTGACACAATAATAGCAATAGCACAGGCAGACTTAAATCGGATGAATAACTGGTTTCAATATAACCTGTTAACTATAAACAAAACCAAAACAAATTACATCATATTTGCGGATAAAAATAAAAAGGTATCGCAACATAGACCGCTTACTATTAACAATAAAATACCACATATAAATAAAATTAAAACAAAGTTAACAGTTCTCACAGGTGTGTTAAAAAAATCACTAAATGTCTTCCAGTTCAAGTACGCTATGAAAAACACGTAAGCGTATGAAAAACAACCTGATATACAATTCTTTAATTAAACCACAATTAGACTACTTAATAGAAATATGGAGCACAGCGGCCCCAAATGCCCTAATACTAATAGCACAAATAGAACAAGCTAAAAAAATATATATTTAATTACAACTATCTATCTTCCACTCACAAAATAAATTATGAATATTAGACAAACTTATCGTTACTTTCACTGCATACTAATACGATTTTTTTAAATAAAACAATACACACTGTGTATATATAAAAATATAATTAAATATAATTTTATAATTTTACAATAAGTTGCTTAATAAAAGAAGCAAAAACCATACAAACATTTAAAAAATTAAAGAGTAATTAATTGGATACGATGGAAATAGAGTATTTTTCCGCATAGTTACACAGTGTTCACACCTACCCTCTTTTAATTGTCAATTGAATATCTTTGTCAATTGTGTATGCCTTAGTTTGTAATTTACATTAGTGTCACGCCGCTCGGCAAATATCTGTATCTCATTAAAAATCTGTTCTCATATAAGTAATTCTTTATGAGAATAAAGTTTCTTAAACCCGAACATAATTATAGGGGTTAAATGTACACACGGATCATCTGAAGTCAAATATATGTATTTATGTATGTATGTATTTCTATATGTATGTATACTCTATACATATGTAGTGACTTTATATTTATTCATTATTAACTTATTCTAAATCTATATATAGAAAAATGTTAAGTTGGTACACTTCAAAAACCCAAAAAGTTCTGGACCGACTGAGTTCCAATTCTGACACTATATACTATCCGCTACAAAGATCACTTTTATCTATTTTTCGCATCAGTTATTGACTCAATTCTTATCAATGCCACCACTAATCATGTACTGATTGAGCTCAAATTTTGTCACTGTATACAACACGCTTTAAAAGTGGTTTTTATCTAAATTTTTTCCTCGTCATTCATTTTTTGTCATCATTGTACCACAGCGAAGCGTGGTGACTGAATACAGCTAGTCCTACAAATAAAAATTTATTGCTGTTTTGCTGCTGTTTTGCTGCTGATTTGGCTAATTTTGATGTTGAAATATTTGTGGAAACGGTGAATGTATACACTTAGTCCCTTATAATACCAATTTCACGCGTTCGAAGTAGCAGGCACAGCTACTATAGTATAAAAGTACATTGCAGGCTACCTTAATTTAAGGACAATATCCGTATAAAGGTTGTCTATAAAATATTGCCGTGAGTGATAAAACTACCTATTGACACACCGAAATGTATATAATATCTCTTCAAATAATACTATAGCGGTGTAAAATAAATGAATAATAAATAAACATCATCTGCCTAGGCCTTATCCTAATTTTATTTGGTTTCGGCGCAGTAAGTAAGATTCTTTCAGTCTACACCTTTCCTAGCCATATCCTAACTCACACACACATTTTCTTTGGTCTTCCTCTTCTCTTGTACCCTTCAACTCCCATACCTAACACTTTCTTCGCCTCATTTCCTTTCGAATAATTAATAAATAAACATCTTTCCAAAAACCGGCATGAAGTATCTTAACATGGAAAAATCCCTTAAAGAGAACTCAACCAAATGTCTTTAGAGGAAAACTATAGAAAAAAAAACTAAAAGGAAATGAAAAACTATACTACTACAACTAACTATAATCCTATATCACTACGACGATAAAGACTATAGTATACCACCATTCTACTTTTACTTCATATAATAGTTTCCAAAGAGAGTTCTGCTTCTATGGCAACATATTATTATTTAGCAGAAGTCAAAACATCATCCCAACTATAAGAATGCCTGATCTATGAGTATTTAATCAACATAACCTTGATAGCGATGTAAACAACTACTAGCACGTTATAAATAATCAAAAACGATTAAATTATTATTATTTATTCTATGATACAATGGCTAAGTATTTGAACTTCATGCTTACTTAATCTGTAATTAATTAAGCAAAACCCTTGCCTTCAGTATATATACCTATCTTTCTGTTTACCGACAATGATAACGTAATCAATTTTAATAATTATAGTAAAGTTTTTTCAATTCTAATGACTGTTATAGTCCAAACAGCATTTGTTACAATATGTATTAACAGCAATTTGTTAAAACTAAAACTTTTAAGAGCCTTTTAGTTAATAAGTGTTACTATAAGTTGAATAACTATCTAAACGATGATCTTTCCAATCTTGAGACCTCACAGTGACGTCAATATAATTAATTGGTTAATATATTGTAATAATTCAGGGAGTGACATTGAAATAATCTAATCATTATTAAATCCGCGTGGTGACGGATTAAGAATACAGAGTGTCACCACCCCTATTTATCCTGTGGGTGTCGTAAGAGCCGACTAAGGGAAAAAAACTACGCAGAACAACAGCACTGCAGGGAGAAGGAAAACTTGACAGAAACCCTATACCAACCCGCCTAGCCAGCGTGGTATAGTAGGCCAAAACCTCCTACCTAAGGAGAGGCGTATGTCCAGCAGTGGCCTGTTAAAGGCTGTGATTGATGATTATTAAATAAATAATTTCATTTGAATTATTCTGTACTCCAATTTAATTTAAATATTTCGATGTCGATCTTGGTTTTAATAAACAATAATTGTATATATTTTGCATGCCTTAGGGTAGAATCACTCGCACCAGGGACTTCCTTTCTAGGGTATACCTGGTTCCCCGGCTATTAGTACCCGAGACGGCGTGCGGTTTTAGTCGGTTCGAGTCCGACATGCCACCGATAGGTGGTATCCGATGGGATTGCCGCACGGAAAAAAAAAAGGTGGTATCCGAGTTATCCGATAAAAAAAACGGTGGAATCACTTGAAACATAACTATATATTTAATAAAACCATTGTTACAGTGTTTTCTGCAAAAATAAATTTGATTTGATTTGACTGTGGAAGAAAACCTAAGGCTTTAAACCAACCAAGGACAAACAAATTGTCATAAACAGGAAAGTTAAGCTAACTCGACAAATAAAGTCGTATTACCTTGTTTGACCTAATATTTCTGCGCAATGTAAACATTAAAAAAAGGTTTTGTGTTTAAGGATAACCAACACATTTATTAACATCTTTAAAGTGAAAACTTCTTTAGCGGCGTTGTACACTTTTTTTGTAATGGGTAAAAAATGTTAAACTCGCGTCAGGACACGTGACCCTGATCGAAAATTCGTAAGACGGATGGAGAGTAGATAGCCGGCGCGGCGTAGTAGAGGAAGTATCTCTTTCTACGGCGCGGCGAAAATGTATGCCTGCGCCTGCTGTTTCGTTTAGGCGGCGCAGGGCGCTTGCGCGAATGTTCGTTTTTCTGAGATAAACTTTTTAATGTAATATCAATTGTCATGTTTGTGTACGATAGCGCAATAAATAAATATTGTATTCTACCACATAAATAATAGTACTTTTATACTGATAATTAAGGCAATTCGTGCAAAATTATTCCCTAACCATTCCAAAATATTAAAAATGCACAACGTTAATATTCAAGTTTTCACTTCTGCCGGCACTCCCGGAGTGCAACCCGTTGTTTTTTTTATATTTGTTTGGATTTGGTGTCCACATTAATTTGATTTGGACGCAAGGAATGAAATGTCACTTACAAACTCAATTTGCAGAACAAGTGAAGATCACTTGTGTTCAACAAAAGGATTGTAATTTTTAAGTTTTCTTTGTTAATTCAATTGAAAAGGCCTTATTTTTACAATCTCGTAATACTTGAGACACACTTTCTACGCTAGAAAGTGGCAAGAGGAATGCCGGTACTTGAGGGTCCATTTCCATCCATGAATACTTACCACATAATAACAATTACCATCAATGTGTTATGCTCTTTACAATAACATTACGACATTGTTTACTAAAATGGGTAGGTATACATGATGTTATCATTATTTTATCACTATCCATTCTTTAATCTCAGAAACTACTGGTTCCTATTGAAGAATTTTTATTCATTTATCGAGGAAGGGTACATAACATCACACTGTGACAAATAGGAGCCAAGGAAAAATGTTGCAAAAAAGGGGAAAATTTATCCCGTTTCAGATATGCAGACGCATATTTTTTAGTTATATTTTCCCCGGCTAGTCTTTTTTTCTCTTCTTTTAAAAACATAACAAAGTAACTATAACTGACAATGTGCAAAATCATAGAGCCTTATCATGTTAGGGATCAGTTTTGGGTAGGCCAACCGCTGCCATGAAACCATCAATTTTAATTTTAATGATGTTGTTTCTTAGACGATATTTATAAAAACAAAGTGTATCTAAAAATGCACTCCAAGAATATATTAAATGGTGTATTTAAAAGTAGCATGTATAATAAACTACGCAGGACAACAGCACTGCAGAGGTAAGAAAACTTAAAACAAACCCTATACCAACCCGTCTAGCCATCGTGATATAGTAGGCCAAAACCTCCTTTCTAAGGAGAGGCCTATGTCCAGTAGTGGACAGTAGGCTGTTGATGTGATGTGTATAATATTCATATCCATCATTTTATACTTTATTTAGTGTCCAAGCGGGACCGTGACAGCCATTATTTCTTATGATTTTGGTCCTTTTGTGCTACAAATCCTTTCAGAACAAGTAGCTATATGTCAGATCGATGTTTAACAAGCCATTTGATTAAGAAAATCATCATCATCATCACCCTATCGCAGTCAACTGCTGCACATAGACCTATCCTATTGCACGCTACTTCGATCTAAAAAAACCAGTCAGCTACGAGTCGAACTCGTGCGCCGAGGGTTCCGTACCTACCCAGATTTTACGAAGATTTTCACGGAAATTTGTAAGTACCAAAATTTATCTTAATTTTCAACTTTTTTTACTTTTTAGAATTATTCCTTTATTTGTGCTGTAAGACGTTTCTTTTTGCCAAATTTCGTGATTCTAGGTCAACGGGAACTACCATAATATAGGTTTTCGACCCAAAACTCAAGGTCTCAATAAAAAGGTCTTAAAGCACAAGTAAAGAAAAAAATTTAAAAAAGAAAAAGTTGAAACTTAAGTCAAATTTTAGTACTTACAAGTTTTCGCGACAATCGAAATTTTGCAAATATATTTTTATGGTGTTGACTCAGGACCTTGATTTTTATACGCCTAATAGGGACCATAGACCTCAGTATCTGGTATAAAGTTCAACTTGCTAGGTCTACCCGTTCCTGAGAAAATTGGACAGACGGACAGACAGACAGGAAAGTGATCTTATAAGGGTTCCTTTTTTACCTTTTGAGGTACGGAACCCTAAAAATAAAAATAAATTAAACCGTTAAAACCGTTAATTATTGATTAATCATAAACGGTTTAAAATTTTGATGCTAATGAGCATAGATGTAAAATAGTAGACTAATCCTACCGCTTTAGTAATTTGCCGAAGATATTATAAAATAATCGTCGCCGCCGTCTGCACGCCGTCTCGGGTACCAGTAGCCGGGGAACCAGGTGTATAACCTAGAAAGGAAATCCCCTCGGAAAGCGACCTCCGGCGTCTGAGCCAATCCTCCATTTTACCTAAACCTCGTTATTCTTTTTTCACAAAATTATATAGTTTAGATTCAGAATATCCCGGGTTTTTTTTATTACAAAAGGTTTATATTATTATGTTCTGACGCATTCTAATCCATAGGTCATGCAAACATAATTTGAGGTCGTAAAATAATCACTACGAGCTAATTACAGTAGAATTGTTATATTATCTTCTACGCTAAGATACATTCTATTCAAATATAATCGTTATTAAATAGTGTCTTAGAACGACGGTTCTAGTTCGTCAATTAACTTTATTAAAACTTCTGTTACATATATATAAATATATGATATATATACAGTAGAACTCCAATTATCCGAACTCCGACTATCCGAATCGCCGATTATCCGAATCACAAAAAATTGTCCAAAAAAAGTCTAAGTGCGCTATTATTCTTCCCCCCGCGAAGCCAGTGTTTGCGCGTCAAGTCTTGCCTTGACTTGTCTTAACTTGCCGTTGTGCCTACACTGACTTCCCCCCGCGTGTGTAGGCACAACGGCAAGTTAAGACAAGTTCCGGCGCATTGCAGTCACGGCGCACCTGTCATTGTTTGTTTTGATTAGCCAGTGTTAATTAATAATAATATTCTAATATTTTGACCTTGCTCGAGGACGCTACTCTTTCGCTACGGCTTACTTTTGTTTGTGCGTGTACAATACTGTATTGTTTTTATACCATGGCTTCGAAAAGAAAACGTGTTGTGCTATCGTTAGCGGACAAACTGAAAATTATAGAGCAACTCGATAAAGGTGTAACGGGTAAGAAGTTGTCTGAGATTTATGGTGTTGGACAAGCTACAATTTCTGACATTAAAAACAGTAAGTCAACACTTTTAAACTTTGTTTCGGTGCTTGAAAATGAAGATGGAAGTTCCTCCAGGAAAACAATGAAGACAGCAACCAACAAAAATTTGGAAGATGCCGTGTTTAAATAGTTTTTGCAGCAACGTTCTATGGGAAATCCGATTTCAGGTCCAATCCTTTGTGAAAAAGCCAAAATCTTAGCTGAAAAGCTTGGTTATTCATCTTTTAAGGCTAGTAACGGCTGGCTAAGGAATTTTAAATTCAGGCATGGTGTACGCGAGTTAGATTTGGCTGGTGAGAAGCTTTCAGCAGACTCTGCAGCTGCTGAAAATTTTATTGAAAAATTTAAAACTGCATCAGAATCCTATGATCCGGAGTTTGTTTATAATGCCGATGAAACTGGCCTTGTTTGGAAAGCATTACCAAAAACCACTTTGGCTTCTAAAAGGGAATCTAGTGCCCCTGGACATAAGGTCAGTAAAGAACGTGTTACAGTGCTTAACTGTGCCAACTCCACTGGAAATCATAAACTGCCAATTCTTTTGATAGGAAAATCAAGAAATCCAAGAGCATTTAAAAACGCTTTGTTTACCGAATGGTATGATGAAGTGTTTATTCCTGAAGTGAAAAAGCACCAAAAATCGGTGGGAAAAGAAGGCAGTAAGGTGCTTTTAATTGTTGATAACGCACCCACTCATCCTACAGCAGAACTGTTGGAAAGAGAGAATGGGCAGTTTAAAACGACGTTTTTGCCTCCCAATGTTACAAGTTTGCTGCAACCCATGGACCAGTCTGTTATTGAAACAATGAAGCGCCATTACAGAAGGCAACTGCTGAGAAAACTGCTGATCGAAGGTGCTGAAGATGAAGAATTGGTTTTGGCAAATCATAGCAAAATAAATTTAAAGGACTGCTGTTACATGGTAGCGGAAGCTTGGAGTTTGGTTACGGCAGTGACGCTAAGACGTGCGTGGAATAAACTGAAAGGCCTACCGTCTGAGAAGAACAAAAAAAAAGAATCTGAAGAAAATGAGAAACAAGAATATGGAGAGGATGATGATGATAAAGATGCGTTGTCACTAGAGGAAATAAGAAAAATGATTGTAAAAATTCCTGGTTGTACAGAAGTAAGTGCTGAAGATGTAGGAGAGTGGATGGCTTGTGACACGTCTGACCCTGGTTTTCAAATTCTCAATGACGATGAAATTGTTGTAAGTGTGAGAGAAGATGTTGAAGTGGAAGTGGAAGAAGAACTTTCTGCTGATGTTGAAGTAGACGCTGGACCATCAGCTAGTGAAGCATTTGCCGGCCTCGAGACTGCTTTGAAGTGGATGGAGCGTCAGCCCGAGTGTGACCACTTGCAACTGCTCACCGTCAAGCGAATGCGTGACCTGGCTGCCCGAAAACGGTTGAAGACCGCAAAACAGCTTACATTGACGGAGATGTTTAAAAAACAATGATTTTTATTTCTAAACTTGTACATAAGTACATTTTATTTATATTTAAAACATGTGAAAATTTCATGTTTCTTTCATTTAATTCAATAAAAAAATAGTGCAATATCAAAACGTAGCTTTTATTCTCTCCAATGGCTTTTTTTTTTTTTAAATCCGATTATCCGAATATTTGATTATCCGAATGGGTCCCGGTCCCCATTAATTCGGATAATTGGAGTTCTACTGTATATATATTTCATTCTGTTATATTATATTGTATTTATGTGGCTGCTTTGATTTTTTTCGCCGAGAGGCATCTATGTAACTGCCACATTAAAAAAAAAACGTATTTCAAATGTGTATAACTAATTCGTAGACAATTAACATTTTTTTAAAGAATTTACAAATATATCGTAGGTTAAAAATTGGCACCCTATGCATATAATATTCGGACCAATGAAAAAAGACATATTTATACATACCAATATCTATACTGAATAGAATCCGCGACTTTGCAGTTGCAGGCACATATAATTTCGTCGTACACAGTCGTGATGTTAATTAACATTCTCAGGAAAACTTTTCCATGGCTATGAACTGTATGTGGCTTGTAATTAATTCAATAATGGCAATACTTAGTAATATATTTGAATAGGTCATGCGCGGTGTCTATTAAAAAGTGTATATACTCGTAGTACAATAGGCGTATCTAATTATGTAGTAGTGTTGCAAGTACAGCTCAAGGTGAGGTTACCTGTTGTTGATAGGTTGGAGACTCTCAGATGTTCGTCTATACATTTCTAGGATATAGTCAACCTCGCAAATAAGGAACCTCATTGCGGTATAACGTGTAATTTTACACTAACGAAAAAAGTACGTATTACTTCAGATACGAAGATCAAATACATGGAATCGCAAATTGTAGATCGTATATGGGTCATACTAAAAAAAATATGTACATTTGGCACTTTTTTTTGTCCCACTGCTTTAATAGCAGATTTAAAATTTGAATATTATGGCACATATTTTTAATCATGTTTACATCTATGTTTAGTCTTGAATAGGATCTTTTTTTTATAAATAATATAAAATTTTCGTCAAATATTAGTATAAATAGCATGGGATTTTTTTTATAAAATATCTTCCATACATTTTTTTAATGTCTCAATAACGATTTATCTTAATAAAAGAGTAATTGTTACGATTATTAGTCGACTTACATAAGATTGACTGTAGTCATTTAGGTCTCTTTTAGTCCATCATTTAAATAGTAAAACGATTTATTCTTTAGAACGTTTAATAAAATTATTAAAATTCATATTAATGTTGTCCCAAAATTATTTCATTTCGTTACTCAGTGTTAGTTACGTGCGTATAATTCTGAACGCAGCTGGTCGAAACTGACGGGAAATAATTTTCCTAATATTGACAACATTGCTGCTTTTTATAATTCACCGTACATACAGAGGTCATTTTGTTTTCATCTGTATACGGGAGTCATTGTGTTGAATTCGCATTTGGAAAAAAATACTGTCAGGGTGATAAACGATTTCAATTTCGGTAAGCATATACTCGTATGATTGATTGTACTATTTTATGCCCACTTGTTAGTTATAATAATATATAGACAAATAAATTCAGTTATTGTGTATACAATAAGTGGTACTAACAGAATTATTTTTCGGGGTTATAATTTCTTACTTAAAAAAAATATTTTTAAATTAAATTACATTTCCTTTTATTCATTTAATAGGTATTATTTTATATTTTGGGCATATATCGTACAACAATTGAACCTTTTAAACGCCATTCCGACCGAAAACATGTGACAAACGCAAATTAATGTTTTACGAAATGTATTCAATTAATAGTGTAGTGCGTAATGTTGCTAATGTAAATTATTGCCTTACAACTTGCATTAGCAAAATTTGAAAAACTTCTCAAAAATCTTCCTGAGAGAGATAAAAATTCTTGAAGACGTAGAGGTATCTCTCATAAGCAGACACTAATTAAAATATAAATAAATAATACACTTGGTATATTAATTGTCATAATATAAAGTCATACATAATTATTAAGAGAAGTTTACTTTACAAACCGGAATTATATAAATATAAGACCGGATTAGCAAACAACATAAAGAGCTTGTTATATGCATGCAAAAATTCTCGAAAATTGCTTGAAAATTGGCAGAATATGTGAAATTAAATGATAGCTCTTTGTACCCATTTTGAAACAAATATGACACACGGAAGCCTATCAAATGAGAAAATGCTAAAAGTTAAAATTTTAAACAATACGTGTCTGTGTGACGCGTGAAATTGGTATCATTAGGGACTAAGTATAATTAACTTTTTTTTAGGCAAAGCAAATATTTCACCACCACCAGCTAATATTATAAAGGTGAATCTTTGTGAGTCTATGTTTGGATGTTTGTTACTTCCACACGCTCAAACGCTCAAACAGGTGGAACTTTTAATAAAATGTGGTATGGAGGTAGCACACACCCCAGCTGAATTAGTGTTCCATATCCCTATGCTAGTAATTGAAAGATATTTGACAAACTGCGGGTAACACCGCGGGCGCAACTAGTCAATGACATAAAGGAGGACTTATTTGTAGATGAAACTGAAAGTACAAGCCTTGTTCGCGTTTGTGTAATGTTTCCATTCCTCAGAGACTTTCACCAGGATTAGACAAACGAAATGGCAGTAAAGTTCAAAATAACTTAAAAAGGGGAAACTAAAACTTTAGGGATCCAGTATATATTTTAACTTGCCAAGGAACAACGGTCTATACAATGACAGTTCAACTTATGCTGGTCGAATAAATAAAACAAGTCATTCAAAACGGTTGAAATTCACCGTATGGCGTTCTTTAGTTATTATGAATATGCTAATTATACTACTGTATATAAATCATTACCATTATACAACACTTTCAATGCTTTATAGAGCAATAAAATTTACACTTGACCCTCTTCTCGATGCTACAGTGTAGGTACTTTGACACTTTCAACTTAGTGTTGCAGTATCACAAAATTATATGTATGTAAATAAGTGGAGACAAATAGTTCACTACCTTCTTCTGTGCTGTTTATCAATCGACTTTCTTTAATTTTTGAGGTGAAAACTTCTTTAGACACTTTGGCAATTTTTGAGATGGAAAAAACAATTGGACCCTCGACACTGTTACCTTTACCGACACCTTTGTATATAAGTTTTCACTTCTGTCGGCACTTCTGTAGTGCCTCTATTTCTTTTTAGTAGCTATTGACACTTCATAGCGGTAAAGCGTCAAATTTATTGATATCAGTAATTAGAACCCCCTGCATCCACATGATTTTCCACCCCGTCAACAAAAAAAGTATGTATTAAATATGCTGCCTTGCAGCTGTTCCGTATATACGATCTACAATTTGCGATTCCATGTATTTGATCTTCGTATCTGAAAAACTACGTCCTTTTTTCGTTAGTGTAAAATTACACTATACCGCAATGAGGTTGCTTATTTGCGAGGTTGGCTATATCCTAGAAATGTATAGACGAACATCTGATAGTCTCCAACCTATCAACAACAGATAACTTCACCTTGAGCCGCACTTGCAACACTAGTACATAATTAAATACGCCTATTGTACTACGAGTAGGTATATACACTTTTTAATAGACACCGAGCATGACCTATTCAAATATATTACTAAGTATTTCCATTCTTGAATTAATTACCAGCTACACACAGTTCATAGCCATGGAAAAGGTTTACTGAGAAAGTTAATTAACATCACGACTGTGTACGACGAAATGATATGTGCCTGCACCTGCAAAGTCGCGGATTCTATTCAGTATAGATATTGGTATGCATAAATATGTCTTTTTTCATTGGTCCCTATATTACTCGTATATGCGTGAGATGTTTCACATCACACATCAACAGCCTTTAATAACCCACTGCTGAGAAACAGATGATGCTAACCTATAAGCAATTGAAACACTATTCCACTTCATACTAATTGCAAAATGTCTTTTAACTGTTATACACTGTATATTTGAGCCAACTTAATAAATAAATTTTAGTATTATCTTTAGTATTATATGAGTGAGTGAGATGCCGAATGTTATAAATCGTATTCGATTACTTTAATACTAAAAATATTACTAAAATTTATTTATTACAGTTAAAAGACAGCAGCACATCTTTTCTCTCTTTTTCCCGATCAATGACCGCGTGATCATTAATCGGGAAAATTAGAGGAAAGATGGTACTAAACTAAGGTTTAGGAAAAACCCTTCGAACCTTCGCGAAAAGAGTACTCCTTCCTCAAAGGCCGGCAACGCACTTGTGACGCCTGTGTTGTAGGCGTTCATACATTAGTTGGCGGCGGCGGTTGTCACTTTCTATCAGGTGACACGTCTGCTCGTTCTGCTATCTTAAAAAAATATAAATCAAAAGCATCTAAGTATGTTCATCTATCTTCTAGATCCACTACTACAAGCTTTGGGTGTGAATAGTGTAACGTAATACGTATGTAAAGTACTGTGATTCCTTTTAACAGAATCATAAGTCACCTTAGGGTTTATATTAGACGCTCCGTGTATGGCACGGTTTTAAAACCTACCACACAACACTTTTAGTTTCTTGTTTTTTTTTTTACTGTCGGCAGTTTAATAGCTGTATGGGGTTATTATCGCACAAGCAACATTAGTGTCACGTTCTACATTTATAGCCGGGTAGTGCGGTATTAGTGAGATTGTTTGAGTCGTGTGTTGAGAGATGTTTATCAGAAGGCCGTGAGCGTACGTACATATCAGTAGTCTTAGTTGCATAAAGAAGATAAATATTAAATATATGAGAGGATGGGTCACTTGATGGTAAGTGACTACCGTCACTCACCTGCAACTCAAGAGTCTAGAATTAAGGGAGGAGGGGCTCACTTAGTAATTTTACCTTTAAAAAAATATAGTTATCCTAGTTAAAGAGTGAATTCTTTAGTCTTACCTCCTCCTGTTGCCTTTTTTTACAGG